TTTGTTTTTCAAGGCTATCCTGGATAGTGCTTAGTTCTTTTGCTTTTGGTGGTGTATCTTTTGACTTACTAGTCTTTTGAGAAGATTTTGTATGTGGTCTTTTTTAAGAAAAGTGATTTGGAGTGGAATGTAGTCACAGGGTCATGGAGATCTGGTGCCATTGCAGGTGCCCTTGTCCCCTCTACCGAGCCTGTGTCTCTGCAGCCCTGAGGGGCTCTGGTCTCCCACAGACCTCTGCAGGATGTGCGCTCTTTCACAGAATCATAGAATGCTTAAGGTTGGAAGGGATCTCTAGAGATCATCTAGTCCAACCCCCCTGCACACACAGGGTCACCTAGAGCACGTGGCACAGGACTTCATCCAAGCAGATGTAGTCTGCAAGAAATATACCACAAAAGAAACCCTGCAGTCAGGAGAGAGAACTTGGAGCAAACTGGACAGATTCATGAGTCTACAAGCTCATAAGTTCATTGTAAAAAAACAGAACCATGATGGCAGTAGATCAAAGACAGTGGACCTGCAGGGCCTGATCTGGCCAGAGATATACACCCATGGTGGTGAAAAGTGGAATTAATTTACAAGCATGGATCTTCCTGCGGGCATTTTCTCCTGCTGCTCACAACATCTTTTTCCAAACAGTTCCTATAGAAATATTTCAGTGAAAAAATAGTAATTCTGGCATTGCTTCATGTGAAAATATATGCAAATATTTAAATATTTTGATAATATTGAATAATATTTCCCCATAGTGACATTTTGAAGTGTTAACAGCAGATATTTTACTCTCTTTAATTTTGAAGGCATACTTTTGGCTTAAAGAAATTTTTTTTTTTTTACCCAAGGGCATATGTAGATAACTATCAGAATATCTTCTCAGTCTACTTTAATCACTACAATCTCATGTTTATGTGCATATGCACCTTAAATGTATATGCTCTGTCATCATGAAAACCTACATAAACACTTTTCAAAATGGAGAGGTATCAATCTTCGCTAACAACTGGTTTTATATATATATATGGCAACATGAACTGTCTTCCATGTACTGTCCCACCCTTCACTTAAAAACTGTCATCTGTAAATATAATTAGAAATAATTGTAATAAGATACATGAACAGTCTAGTTTGTCTGATTAACATCTGGGGGAACACTCATTTGCATTTTTGCAATGCAGAGAAAAATGTATCCTGACACCTTTATTTGGCAATCTGCATCCTCTCCTTTTATGATGATTCTCAGATATTCCTGCAATAAAAAACTACAGAGTTTCAAAGAATTCCCACAGACTTTCAGCCTATCTCTTTATCTAATTATTGTGATATTTGTCCTTTCGATTTGGCCACTTTCTACTCACAACTGCAATATTATTGTTAGCCTACTAATTTATATCTTTGCACTTGATATTCAAATCAAAACAGATTTAAGTATTCAAAAATAGCACTGAAGAGTGATCATTATTCTCTTTGCTGTTAGTGAGATATTAGGGCACAAGAACTAACAATTTGATTTTATATATTTTCAAAAATCACAGGCTATTCATATGTAAATATAATCACATAATATATTTCACTTTGAGATGCCATTCAAAGTAGCATATAAACATGGAGATATATCAATGTGATTTTGCAATGCTTAGAATTAATCGTGTTATTAAATATTCCCTTCAATAGATGATTATTTAGGGGAAAAAAAAAGCAGGTTGCAGTAAGTCATAGAACTATGACACATTGAGAAAGTAGCAAAATATATTTTTAAAGGGGTTATTATTTTCAATTATAGATAGAGAAGTAGTGACAAACAGCAGAAAATCAAAATTTAAGGTGGCTGTCTCAGAGCTTCTTAGTCTAAAAAGAAGTGGTAAACTAACTCATGATAACTCATGACTCTCATTAATTTTTCTCCATTTGTTCCATGATAGTTGCATTACTTTTCCAAATCATGTTGTCCTTTTAATTTAATTGCTCAGAAAAAAAAATTATTGTAATTGCAATTAAAATATGCTCTGCTTTGAATGACAAAGTATGTCAAAAGTACTTCTTTATTTATTTAAACTTCTAAAAATAAATTCATAAATTCTACAAAAGAGCAGAAAAGTTTAGACATTCTTTTGGGCATACTCAGGATATCACTTCCTCTTCATTGGTAACCTCTCTTCTTTACAAGATATAAATAATTTTTCAAAAATATTACTGATTGTCTATATACATGTATACATTCTTACCTATATACACATATGCAAGTATACATGCCTATAACTTTCAAAATTCTCAGGCTTTTTTTTATTTTTATTTTTTTCCTACAAACCTTTCTTTGCTTTCTTTTTACAAGATATTTTTTTTAAGTTACCTGATAATCAGCAGGGCCAGGAGTACAAAATTCTTCCTCTTCATGAAGGCGCAGACATCGAGGAGCTGAAGATCCAAAAGCAGCTCTTTTTATATAGGCCAAATACATGCTTTTTATACTTTCATTTTCAATACTATGGTTCAGAATGTTATAAAATGCAGGGCCTGAAAAAAGTCAAAACATTTCTGTCAGCCTTCAACAAAGTTTTCTTTTATAATAAAACTTTTCAATAGCATAACTACTTATACACCTTCAAAACTGTTCTGTGATTTTATTAACAACAAAATACTCTCAGTTTAGATACTAGTTGGGTGAAAAGTTTCTATCTGTATAATGATTACAGTTGTATTCCCAAAATGCATGGTGTGTACTGTTGAACATATTCATATTGTATCTGGTATTTGGCAGAGGAAATGAATAATAATTTATCTATAGATACTGAATACAACTTTCTACCAAGAAGGTGACTAACTACTTGCACAGTGAGGGATTTTTTCAGTAACAAAACTGAAGACAATTTTGTAAGCCTTTAACAACGCATCCTAACAATTTTATTAGCATGTCTAAGAGACATAAAAGTCTTCATCATGGGGATACAATAACCAAGCAAGTGCTGAATCGAGTCTTTCATTGTCTGCAAGGTGTCTGGAGATTTAAAGGTTTGTGCTGCCATTGAATTCATAGGTACACTAACACACCATAGGTCCAAGTCCAGCATGGGCTGCCTTCCTCTTTTTCATTATGAAAACGACAACTGTTGTGTAAACTGCCAGCTGCCCCGTTCCCCATTGGTAAAGGAGAAATGAACAACAATGGAGAATTTTCTGTGTGTCAAAGCAGGCTTATATGAGAGGGACCTGATAAAAGATGTAGACAGCTCGTCACAGGATAGTAATGAGGCAACATGTACTGCGTAATCTCTAATGACTGCACTGAGAATTGAGACACATAATGTGGTACACAGCTATGTGTATCAGTGGAAGAGGAGAAGCATATGGCTTCCAGGTATACTTTAAGGGATTACCAGTAATATGTTGACAGCTGAACTGAAAAACTATTTCAAAATTAACGTCTGCCAATGGTAAAGGCAGGGGGTTCAGACTTATTCTCAGCAGCGTTGATAAAAATAGAATCAGCATCATCTTCTAAATTTGTCTTCAGCATTACTCAGAAGAATCATACAAGAGTTATGTCAAAAATTTAAATATGTTGTCTCCTGCATCTCAGTAATTATCACTAGCAACCAAGGCTCAGAGCAAACACCCCAAAGCAAAAAGTTAAACAAAAGAAAAAAGAAACACTGATCAGTCTTTTATGATAACGGCTTGTTCCTACAATGTGACACTGAGAGTGTAAGAAGTGCTAAGGGCAACACTTCACATTCATGATCTGAGCAAAGAGATATGGGAATAACACTGTATTATTTCTGAATATCTCCTCCTTTTTGGTGCAGGACTTAAGTGGCTGGCTGAGAAAGTAGGAGAGGGGTGTCCATCCCTCACCTAGATGGCACAGACAACTGGCCATCAGTCAGGGAATAAAACACAACCACATAAGGCATTGGAGGCAAAAGGTGATCTTCCCAGAAACCTGTGTTGCATAAGATTGGCATAAAGTGGAAATGAAACAAAGAGAAGCAAATGCAAAAAAGTGCTTGTTCAAAGTGCTTGCTGACACCAGTTTGCTGAGAAGAAACTCTATGGCAACACTTCGCTTTACATAACCAGGCACCAACTATCGAGCAGTGTGCTACATGGACTTGCCTTTTGGAGATACTTTCCACCACTTGCCCTTTCATTAATATGTTCAAACTGCAGACATATAAAGTAGACCAATGTCTGCAGATAGAATACTGAACTGTTTAACACATTCTCAACTAGAGTATAGCTCTATAAAGGCAATAACAAAGGTAATATTATTTAGCTATTCAAATAAATTGAAGTGCTAGGCACAGATGTAATTTCAGCATGTACTATTCTCTCTATATACACCTGAATATCTGACTATTACTATTATCACAGGACCATGAGTGGGGTATTGCATTCTGCTCACAGAACATTTGAAAGGCAAGAACGAGAATATCTAAGAAAAGTCAGAGAAATAAAATCATTTCACAGCAGGTACAATTTACCCTGAACAACATTTAGAAGAAAGTCAATGTATGTCTACATTTCCTAAAGCACTAGAATGAGGATAATAAATTAAGATATGTATCACTACTAAGCTATTGTGAGATATAATCTTGCCAACAGTGTGAAAACGTAATTAATAGAGTACATATTGACCTCAGCAAAAATCACAATTTCCATAAAAAAGATCTTAGTTGTTTTGTTGATAGACAGCTATAGAGTGTGTATTTTTTATACATAGCCTTATTTGAATAATAAGCCTTGAATAAGGCTATAAGAAATAGCCTTATTTAATACTAGTCCAAAATTAGCTGGGTAGGGGAGGGGAGATAGGGGAAAAGAGAGAGGTGGAGAACCAACATCCACAGATGTCATTTACATTGCTTTTTCATTAGCTAGGAATCCTTTGAATGAAATAAACAAACAAACAATACTATTATAAATTAGTTCATATTTATCATAGATAAGTTGTGTTCATATTTTTAGAAATCCCCCCAAATTGGTGAGTTGAGGACCACATTTGGATCTTTTTGGCCGAAGTCTAGTATAAATAACTAAGTCTCTGATAGGTATATTTTCTCTAATTCTTAGAGCTTTTTAATTTCAAATTAATTTCATATTTACTGTATTTTAGTTACATGATTAATTACTCATGTTCCACAATATCTACCCTACTAATATTAAAGTTATATAATCTGAATATCAGCAGTATTTGGATTAATTGCAAACCTGGTGTTTTTTCTACCCTGAAGTCTTGAGTACACCGAACAGCACTTTGACCAAACGGGATCTTTTTCACTCCCGATGTTCTATTCAAGGACTCAAGAGCCATGTGTGTTTCATTATAGGTGCCAGGAGCTGGTGTAATTGATCTCACAGGTAGAAATCTCTAGTAAAACACAAGGTAAAAATATGCCACTGACAGCCTACAGGACATTCAGAAACTGCATTAAGTGCTTACTTCAGTATATTTACGATCTTTCTCTCTTTCATAATGAAGATAACTCAGAAACAGTGACAGCCACCACCTTGAATATTTCTGATCACATAGGAGTGATTTTCAACTCTGATGTATTAACTGTGAATTTGTTTGTACAAATGGTACACGTGTGCTCAAATACATAGCCATGTGAATAGCTAACAATCAATAAGATGCTTATTCAGTCAGATCTTGCATTCAAGATGTTGATATAGGTATGTTTTAAAAGACTTGCCTTCTTTGAAAAATTATATCCCCCTTTTTTTTTTTAATCAGTTTTCATCATTGCTGTCTTTATGTACTGAGCATGTTGTATACAACAGTGCAGAATTTGAGGGTTATTTTATGCTCCAAAAGTTACATGCAGCCATACCACCAGCCAGCTAGCACATATAGCAGAACAATAAAGGGAAAAAGAATGGGAAATATTGGGAGAATAAACCATGGTAGAGACAATTCTTTATCTGCTGTGCATGAAGGACATGAAGGATATTGTTCTAAGGGCTCATTCAAAAATGCTTCCAATACCTGTGGCACTTAACATTCTTACCTGGAGTGACTAAATTACAGACAACGGTCAAGGAAGTAGCCGACCATATTACAACTATCACACCTAAGTTAAAAATCAAGCTACAAGGTAGGTCTGCACCTTCAGAAAGCTGAATGCAGAGAGTAAAATTACCAGAACGTCTAATATGCATGTCTGTCCTAATGAACACTGGAGGTAATTTCAGAATACAGATAATACAGAATACCTAATAATACAAAAGACAGAAAGATAATCTACTTGATAGATACAAAATTAGTTTTTGTTCTAAATGCTTCTTAAAATAACAAAGAGAGATTAAAAAAGAAAAAAAAAAGAAAAAAAAAGAGAGAGAAAGAGAGGCCTTTGGAGCAATCATGGAAGGAAAGGAAAGAAGGAAAGATTTCTTCAAAGATTGACTGTAATGCATAATGTCAGGCTCTTATTTTTGAAATGCACACTTGAAAAAAGATTTCACTTGTTTCCACAATCATCCTTTTAGAGCACACACCTAAGCGTTAAGCATTACATGAATAAAATCTATAATCACTGATCAGGAGCTTTCGAGCCACACCACCTTTTTCATAAGCACACACTCTCACTTCACATTGTTTGAGCCCATTGAAACATTTGTCTGGGCTGTGTTCATGTACGTCTCAGTCATCAACCATTAGACTAAGTAGTGCAGAAACACACAGAAATAATTAAGCAATCACAGAATCATACAATTATTATTTCTTGTCAGTTACCTTATTGTTTTACTAATCGTGTTATTAGAATACATCAAGAGGAAGAAAAAGTATGGGGATCTTACTTTGGACTGTGAAAGAAAAGGAGCATGTAGAAATATTCTCCCCTGTTGCACCACGTTTTCACTCTGCTGAAATTGACTTTCTATTTCATATTGTCCAGGTCCTGGAAAACCCTGAAAAACATCAATTGCATATAATTTTTAATTTACAAATTAACCACAAAAATACTATTAAGCTTAATGAATATTTTCCAGACTATGGTTTGAGCTCATTATTTGAGTGCTTTACAGCTGCACTAAGAATTTGTGGGAAGTTGTTTAGTTTTCTTGTGTCTTCTCCACAGTTCAACGAGCTCACCTGAGGTGTCATTCATTTGCATTTCCCAGTGCAAACAGCAGCACGCTACATCACCCTATGTGAACCAAGAAAAGTAATTTGATATTTTGGCTCATGCAATATATGCATTAAAGACTTTGTATGTGCTATATTAATCTACTCTGTCCTGGAGAAAACAAGGGCAAGTTAAAGATGATAATCCTGGAAAAATGTGTTGCTTGTTTTGTTAAACTATAAGCATAACAAAATAAATTCATATTAAATGTACTTTAACATGAAATAACTGTTTTTTCTAACCAGTTTCCTGCTAAATTACAATACAAATTCCTGCAATAACACATGGCATTTCATGACAAAATTCATAGAAAAGAATGATACAAATTTACTTCACACTGAACAACCAGCATCCATGTTGCCTGTTGACAAGTTAATGACACACAGAGACTTTTTATATCATTGCTATCATCATCAGAGTTTTCAGAGTCTATGGAAGTGAGAGAATAAATGCAAGTGTTTCCTCATATATAAAACATACTCTAAATTATGCTTAAGTACAATTTAAAGCTTATTCTTTAAAATTGTTTGGTTTTGCTCAGCTTTTCCCCACATTTCTCCAGTATCATCTGGTCCAAAAAACATCGCAAGTAGAGCGCATGACTGCATCAGTCAATGACTGTGACGTCCATACGTGGTACTCTTTCTAGAGAGCACTAACTAGCAGCTGATGGCCTAATTCCTGGTGCACTCCTTTCATCTTAGAGAACTGAACATATCTTGCATCTCCAGAACTTTTTCATGCAACTGTAAATTTGTATTAACCTGAGTTACCAAGTATTCTGTGTTTCAAGAGACCAGTCCTATACCATCAGAACCAGAAATTCATTCAAAGCAAACAGCTCTACATCAAGCAAGCCACAATGACTTTACATGGCTAAAGAAGACAGAGAAATAACTTTGGAGTTAGCATGCAATAGTAAAATGGAAAGCTTTGTGCTTAAATTTATATATCTAGAATAAAAATGCTCAGAGCAAAAATAAGCAACAATCAAAAACAAATCAAAGTTTTTCTCAATTTGGAAATCCCAGTCTCCAGAAGTGTGTGTTAATTTTACAAACAGCAAGAGTCTGCATGACTGCAAAACACATTGTTGTATTAGACACTTAATGTAATCTTACCCCTCCTCAGAAAAAAAAAGCAAACAAAAATCAATTCTACTTTGCTTAGGGTAAATATAAGGCCTATGACAAAGACAGATGGGACGTTTAGGTATGTGATGATAATAAATATCTCAATTGATCTCAATCAATTCATAACATTGTATCTGTTTATGCTAAAATTTTCATAAAGCAATCATTTTCCTATATTTTAGTAAACAGCATGTTACCTTTTAGTAGTGTTCCTTCTTCTATCATCTGTCTACTAAGATCTGCTTATATTACAATTAATTTACTAGTTTTTGTTTTTTAAGTACAGAAAACTGCACTATGTACATCATTCCTCCAGTAGGCAAGAATTAATTTTGTGCTAAGCAACTCTGCTATAAAAAGATATGATTACAATTAATAAGTTTGACAGATTTTAATGATCCTTCTCGTATTTTTAGCCTTTCATTAAACTGGTATCATTACAGCACAATCTGTCTCGCTGAACAATTTATCATGAAACAGACTTCTTAAACTATTTTATATTGTTACCATCAGAATATTTTCTAGTCTAAAATGGTGGGAATGCAGATCAGACAAAAACAAACTTAGGACTATTTAAGCTTTTTCTTACAGCTTTCTTAATTATTCACAGAAACTGTAAGTTTCAGTGAGAGAATTCTGTAAGAGAATTATAATTTTTGGTGGAAATACAAATTAAGTCATGCCAGGCTCTTCAAGGCTGATGAGGCCAGAGGAAGCCTTTGCCTTGAGAAAATCAGAAACAAGATGGGGGAGAGCCTGTTAACCTCCTGATCCAAGTAGCACTGCTGAAAAAGTCAACATATAACAGTTATTTCATAAAAACAAGAATATTTTGATCATTTTTAGCTTCTCCTACCTGAAGGAGAACTGAACTTCAGTTAATTTGTCAGTAACCAAGTACAGGGAATGTGTTAGACAAATTCCACTAAGGATCAACAAGATAAATAATGCTGGAAAAAGAAAACACAGAAACTAAATAGCATGATACTTGCCACAACTTGAATTTTGAGGTTCAGCATTTTTTATATAGGTAAATTCAAGCTAAACTAAGAAAACACCTAGTCTGCATATGCAGAACACCCATTTAGATTTAAATATAGGATAGATAATAAGAAATAGTTGAAAGCCAAGTTACTCATTTCCAGCTCATCAGATCTCTTCAAATGTTGGAAAGATTTCGATTGAAGAATCACTCCCTATTTAGACCAATGTATCACAAATTTGTTTGCTTCTAGCTTTCACTAAGAGCTTAGTAAATATTTGGCAACTGGGAAAAAAGAAAGACAGAGACAAAGAAAACAGGGTCTTGCTGGGATTTCCAAGGTAACACAAATGACCAGCAGTTCAGTTTCCACTGACACACAACCCTCTTAAATTGCTTTGAAAGCTCTAGCCCACTACTGTAGCTCTTGGCAACTGGCTAACCAGATTCCTTTTCTAATTACGTTTCAGGATTACAGGACAGTACTGGTTTCAAAGTGAAGCTTATTGCCTCAAATTGAACAGGGAAGTCTGAAGATTCTTTAAAAACCTCCTTATGCAAAATATTCATGTCTCAAAAAGCATTGAAAAAAAACCAGCAAATCCAAAGGTTCTAATCACAAGAAAATAACACCCACAATATGTGCACTATGGTATTTTAAATGCATAACCACACATATTCCCCAGCAAAAAGTAAGAATGATAAACTTAGGTCAAGCAACAAATTACTCTGAATGCTCAGAGAAACCAAAGGAAGAAAAATTGCATAAAACTGTAGTCTTCACACAATTACCAAATTTATTTACAGTCAGAATATACTTCTGGTTTTAAATTAAAAAGGACTATGAAATTCACAAAAAGAAATAACTTTATTATGTCAATAGATGCATTACTGAGAATTTTTAAGGTTGCATTGTGCAGTACCAGCAAAAATGGATTTTCATTATCAATATAAAAGTCCAAAGGGAAGCCATAGAGCCAACTATATTTTATTCCTCGAAATATTTGTTAGACACAATATGTAACAATAATTTTGTGGATACTGGGGAAACAGTAAAAAGCCAACAGTGAAGTTGGAATGATCATATTCAAAGCTATAAAAGCATATTTTAAGATTTGAAAATGTC